CACACACACACACACACACACACACACACACACACACACACACACACTCCCCCTTTCAATCGTCTGTTGATTTTAGATAGTTTTTAAATGTATAGTTGTTAGTTTAGATATTAGTTGACTGATCATTAGTATTAGAACGTAATAAACTCTGTTATAGTTTAAAGAGCAGCTGTCTGTGATTACTTTGTGCATGTGTATTGTGATGATAGCTGTACAGTATATATATATATATATATATATATATATATATATATAGAGCGCAGCAATTTTTTTGGGGGCCGCTGATATCCATTGTTTCAGACAGTTCATAGATTGGTTCAATCAGAGAGAGTGTGCTCTGTAGTTTTGCTTGCAGCCATTCAGTACATGATAACACAAGAGACAGAATTTCAGGGTCGTAGTGAAATTTGACAACGCAAATATGAACTTTTCTCAAATAAAGAGAGAAATAATTGTCCTGCTTGTAAAGGAAAGACGGATAAACTAGCTTTCATATCCGCGTCACTCCCAAATCCTAATTCTTAAAGAGACCGCACACAATGGATGGAGAATGGACCTGACAGTGTCAACTTTTGAGTTGTTTACTTGTTTTATTATGAGCAGGATTGTAATTTGAAGGGGGAGAAAACATACAAACCAGAACGCACGCACATATGTAGCATGTTAGAGTTATAAATAACTTGTCCATGTGAGAAACAATAGTTTAATTTAATGACATCACCAAAAAAGATGCTGAAGAACATTTTAGGGGGGCTTCATGAATAGATGTGGCTTCATGTTAAAGGTTCTCAAGGCTGGGAGACACTGAACAATTTCTCTTTAAAAGGTTTTGTTGAAGTAGTTTTTTGACAGTAATACACTGATGACAATTAAGTTTCTGAAACCAATATTTCTTTCAAATTTTATTTCATGTTAATACCATAAATATACAAAACTCAAACTATTTCACATGCAACGAAGGCCAGACAAGAGTGCGTTACGTTTTCCTTTTTACATGTGACTGATAATGGGGATCAAATTTTCAACTTTACAAAATATACAAGTGTTTTGAAGGAGTTTCTCCTCTGATTCAGTGAAACAACGTGGTCACAGGTCAAAAAACACTGTTTTGTGTCGGCAAACTTCCAATCCATCGTTCCGTACTGCGGACCAGCTCGGCCAAATACATCAAGTAATTACCCACGGTGGCATGGCTTCATTTAACAGCTGTTCAAAACTATGGATACATGGGAGTCGTGTGGGTGTTTGGAGCAAAGTAAACTAATCTTAAAGTAAAACATGGCAAGGGAGCACATCACAAACTAAGATTAAAAAAAAAATCAAAAAAAAAAATCTATATGGACATTTGGTAGATTTCTCACAGCTTTTCAGGACAGAATAACACTTGAGGGAGATTTTTTGGGGGGAATTTCATACCACATCCTCATCCATACACGTGCACCTCTTGCAGGGTCAAGTCGCAAAGTCATGGATCACTTATCAATCTAGCTGATGCTATGATCACGTCATTATAAAACCACACAAAACATAACGCATAATGTCAAATCAAAGCAAACTAATTTGAAATGCAAACAACGTTAAATTACACCATAAATAAAAACATGTTTGTCTTTTGCGCCAAAAGGTCGACGTCAAACAAGAAATGTGCAATGGATTTTAAAACCCAAGTATTTCCAAACAATACTGCCAAAGATGTAGGCTTACTTCATGACGGATTACTGACCTTCACACTCGCAGGAGTATTTAAACCTCTGCAGAGTTCAGTCCATACATTTGTAATAACAGCAGCTAATCGTCAGTCATCTATCACGCACATCTCCAGACACTCGCCGCCACTACTAGGGGCGCTGGAGCACGACACAAATGTAACCCACGTTCCATATTTCACCCCAGTGACAGTAGTCTGTACAACTTGGTTCTGAGTAACACTGTTATTATTATATATAATTAACGAATGTGCATCGCGTTCAATCCTCTGTTATCTCGATGCTCATTTTGGCTGTGAAACGTGTGGTGCCAGTGATCCCATACTGACGAGAGGAAAAACAAATGGGCTGACTTTGTCTGTCTGTGAAAATGGACTGGTTAGTCTGTCATTTGCACATTCTTTCTATTTCATGTATGCAGGTTAATCTCTAGAAAAAGCAGAGCTTTACCACTGTCCAGGTCATCTTCTGTGAGAAAAGGCAGGCCGCTTCTCTCCCTATGAATGAATGGTATGCATCCCTTTTCAACAGGAAGCTAGGACCCAGCGGCTCTCAGATTCACAGCAGCGTTAAGTTTCAAACCAACAGTGACGGGCTACAAAAACAACTGAGATGATGCCACATAGTAGTCTGTTAATGTCATACATACATAAAGGAAAATGCGAATATTTCTCAAACTCTTTTGGGTCCCCCCCCCCCCCCAAAACCAGCTACTAACTCGAGTGTGCTAAACATGCGTGTCGTTGTCATGCTGTCAAATCGTAGCAAACCACAGAGATGCTGGCTCAGCCCGCGTTGTCAATCAGAGTAGCACACAAAGTGGGAACAGTTGCTCAACCGACAGGTGCCACTGGAGCACTGCTGGGGGGGCTGCAGGCGGTTCCTAAAATAAGAACGAACCGACATATTTCTACTTACAGGAACTACCGGAATGGTGTCTGTCTCAGAATAGAAGCACAGATGTAATACAAGGAACAATTTACGCTTCAGATTTAAATGACCAAGCTCTGGATAAAAAATCTTTTAAAAGTCAGCGCCTCGATTCTCTTTAAGTGAAGTACACATTCGCATGGAGGGCAAACTTACACTGTACTTTGGGCATGTGACCAAGAAAACATACCTATGTGCAAAAACACCATGATCGGATTATCACTTTTCATAACTCTATACCGTATGAACCAGGCAGGTATGCTAGAACTGGTTCCTCTGCCTGAGAGCGGGGGGGGGAAGTGAAGGAGCGAGTGAGATGAAATCCCGCACGCTACAAGGAACGCCTCGAGTCACTTGGTGGATGTTTCGAGGGATGTGAGCAGACATCTGACTGAGAAGCAGACAGGAAGAATGTCGGAGGGGGAACTTGATTTTAAGTGAAGGTGGACAACTCTGGTTACTTTATCTGACTAACGTTTCTGTTATTTCTGGCCTCTGACTCTTTGCACATCCTGTGCAGCGCGAACTTGGCAGGACAGCGTTCATGAATAGAATCAATTTGATCTGAGAGCCTGCGGGGGGCCAGAGTTGTGCATCCCCAACTTTTGAGTGTTTTGTGTGTGTGTGTGTGTGTGTATATTTGTATGCATGTGTATGGTAGCGTCAGTTTATGGCTGAGGTTTGAACGCCCCGCGGGCAGCATTGGTCGCAGCATTAGCTGCAGCGTTGGCAGCCGCTGTCTGAACGGTCTTGTTGGACATGACCCCGGTTGCGAACTCCTGCTGAGCCTTCTCGAAGCTAGCACCGGTGGTGCGATAGAGTGCGTGCACCTGGAGAGAGCAGGAGAAAAGAAAAATGAGCTGGAGTCAAGACAAGTGATTTAAATCTACCGCAAGTCCTCGGGCACGGAGTCCTACCGTACCTTTTTAAACATAATGAGCGAGCCCACCGACAGTGCGGTGAAGAGAGCCGAAATCAGTAACATGATGATCCCCACCGGGATGCTGGTGTTCAGGCCGGTTAAGGCTGCGATCCACCCGCTGGCAAAAACAAAACAACGGTGACGGGAGTTGTCAGTGAGGACTCGTCGAGGCACAGACGCAGTAAAAGCTCAAAAACACTCACCACGTTCCCCAGCCAGTGATGCCAATAGATTGTAGAACGTGAACCCCAAACTGACAGATATAGATGAAGAAGAAGACAAAGAAGCGGAATGAACTGTCACTCCTGTTGTGGAGACAGAGAACAAGGTAGTGAGAGGGCAATGTGAGGGCAATAGCAGGTGAATTCCCCTGTGAAAGTCTGCCTTTATCCATGTCTTTCCTTAGCACTCTCTTCCCATATGGCATTTTTTTGGGGGGGTGGGATTAGCAAGTGTAGGGTTAGAAAAGGAGAGGATAAGTTTGAGCTTCTACAACCTCAAGAAATGTCAGCATTTTCAAAGTCAACTGGCCACCTCTTTTTACTTTTGCCCTATCAGAACACAATGCTTGTCCACAGAGACGTGTTTCTGCGTCTTTCTGCTTTCAGAACGCGGTGGGATTTCTTTCATGCATCTGCTTACCTGAAAGCCCCGTAAAGCGGTCTGTACCAGCAGACGAAAGAACAGGGCGTAAACAGCAGGAACCACAGCAGTGCCAGGCCGAAATCTACACCGCGAGACGCATCCACGCAGAACCAGGCCAGGCAGCCGAACATGTTCACAAAGAGCGTGCCTGCATGAACTGTTGGAAAGAAAACAACAACAACAAAATAAAGAACTTTACGTGTCATTTCAGTACAAGAACACAGGAAACTATAATGTGTGATCGGCAAAGCAAATAAAAATCTCTTTGTTTTCTAATGTGGTAAACGAGCCGACAAGTGTGTCTGATGACAAAGTGACTCTGCATATTATTTGATGATTCAGGTGGCTTCTCCTGCGGTGCGATATGTGGGCTCGTCTTATGAACCCATGTGTGATGGGAATGTGTGAGAATTAAAGTAAATGACATAATATTCACGGGCACAGGAGGTGTGTGAGACGATCCACTTACACATCCAAAGGTTGTACATGATCTTGACGGTCTTTTGGAACTCTACAGGAATATCCACCGCTATATCATGGTAGAAACACGGGCCAGCGGGGAACTTCTCTGGCAGGGGAGGCCAGTTGTTCTTACGCCCTGCGTGGACAATGGGAACAGCGTTTAGATGATGTATAGTGTCAGAGTTTTTACCACTTAGTTGATATACTTTTGAAGCATACCTATATCAAAGTGTGCGCAAGAATCAGAACAAAAGACTGATTTACGGAACACTGACAATAAAAAAAACACATCAATACAATTATCTTTTTTATCTGACCTCCCGCGGCCCCGTGGGACTGCAACTCTCTCTCCCGCCGATCGAGCTCTGCCGCTTTCTTCTCCAGCTCCTCCTGCCTTCTCAACAACTCAGCCTGAACGCGCGCTTGGTCCTAACACAGACACGGAAATGCTCTTAAAATTCACCATCCAACATTCGACAGGAGTTATGATATCCAATCAGGAGAGTAATGAAGGTATTTCTTTTTGCTAGTTTGAGAAGGGAAAAGAAAGGTGTTCCAACAGGAAAAGCAATCAGCTACTGTTGTTAACACACTTGTCTTCTTCAGTTAGCACTAAACTAGCTCTAATATTGCACTGCAAGAGGAAAGCTCCAAGTGGGGAAAGTGAAGGAATTATCACTATTCAAGACAGTGACATGAAGGGGATGGAAGACAGTACCTCATTACGCTGCTGTTGGGCCATCAGAAATCAGATGAGTATGTGAAGGACAAGAGGAAACGTGAACCGGAAACAAAGACAGAGAGTATCTGTATATGTGCTATAAAACTACATATGATTCAATATAAAAAACATGTTCTGTGTGTAGTACCTGAGTCTGTTGCTGCGAGTAAGCCGGTGGCTCTTCTGTGGGCTTCATGATGGCAGGTTGTGTGTTCTGCTGTGACGGGGCAGGAGTAGCTTTGGGGGCATTCCCAGGGGCCTCCTGTAAACCAGCATAGACCTACCATATTAATATTTGTGCAATCAAAAAGACAGACCCTGAATCAAAACTGTAATTAGGTCACAGTCATATTTTGTCACTGAAATCCTTTGTGACTGAGAGGTGGAGGAAGAGGGAAAGAGGAGAGTGGATAAAATGAGGTCAGTGACTCAAATGCACACAAACACATGCATGCGCGCACTCATCGATGGCGATGCTTAGTTAAGCTGACCGTTCTGGCGTCTGTGAAGGGGTTATACTCCTCCAGACCACCAGGAGGGGCAGACCGGGTCACCTGCGTCACCGAGGGATCCTACGGGACAGAGACGACCATAAAGCGTTTTAAGGGGTTAAAAGCTACAACCACAAGAACATATTAGTAGTTGTTAGCTATCGGTTGCATTAAAAACCAGAGCTGACCATTCTCTGGGTCTATTTATTACTATGTTCTAACCAGTTATTATTGTTGTGTTGACAACAGGTAAGGTGGAAACAGAGGGCTGGATGTACATGCAGCACAATATAAATGCTAATATTACTATATGTGGCATGGCCTTTCCTGTTATTGTGGCCATTTGAAGCACTGTGAATGGGATCAGGAGAAGGGGAACTGGAAAATGCCACTCATAACATGCTTACAAGACAGTCCATGTTAGTCTATAGTGGCCCACAATGTGCCATAAGGAGCCAACAGTTTACAGGTTTTCGTCCCATCCAAGTCTCCACCCACTGATTAACACACCTGCTAGTATAGGGGAGGGACTTAACATTTAAATCACACACTCAGGTGTCTTGTTAGGATGAAAACTAGCAGACTGTTGGCAGCCCCTGGCAATGGTAGAAGGTAAAATAGTTTACAAGGGAGAATGAATTCTTCTGAACACAGCTGTAACACATATAAACAGCGTGTTGCCTGCATCTAGCCAACAATAAAAAACAAACTAGCATTATCTTTACTGAGGATGTCTATGATGAGTAAGAAGCTAATGTTTCTAAACAATTTTAATGTCAGTATTGTGTGCAACGTTTGTGCGTGGAATGTATTAAATTAACCTATCTAAAGTTAAGTTTATTTTGGACCACTGCTGTAACAATATAGCTACAACTCCAGTAGCAAGTTTAAAACTGGCGTCCCAGCGAGATAACTGTACACAGCGGACCTATCCGATGCTAGCATCAGTTGGTTAGCTAACTTATTTAGCAAGCTAGCAGCAAATGTTTACTGACGGGCAGAGCTAGACAGCTAACATCATGTGTTTTTGTTCTTAGTTGGCATAACCGTAATTGCAACGTTGAAAACAAGCATCCTCGGTAACAACGTGCTAACTAATTCTTCACATCTTCATTTGCAAAGTGAACAACCATATAATGTATCTATGATATAGTAGATGATGTGAACGACAGTTAGCTCCTCCGGCTACATAGTAGTACAGTAAGGAAAAGCTCTTGCTAACGCTAGCTGTCAAGTTAGCTACTAGCTAAGACATTTAGCAGGGATGCTAAAGTAAGACTGGCCTCATTGGGCTCTTAAGTGTACGTTAGTTAACGTTAGCTCAGTAAGCTACCTGAAAGGGGTTGCTGAAGTCCGGGTCTGCAAACGGGTTGCTGTCAAAGTCGGACATTGTACAACCTTTCTAATAACGTTTTCCTTTGTGGAAGAGCTTCCCGAGTAACCAGGGAAGGTTCAGTCTCTTGACTTGACTGCCTCTCTCTGCTTGCCTGCAGTCTTCTCCGCCTCCTGCTGATGGAGACCCCTTGCTTAGCAAGCTAGCCAGTAGCACAAAAATGGCAGGAGAGGATGCGTGATGAGCAGCACCGTCCTACGTCACTGCTTCAGCACCGCGGACAGCATACCGTCTGAAAGGTAATACCACAGTAATACCACAGTAGCCACATCTGAACCGGCACACCGGTATAGTGCACTGGGATGAGGAGCATCTGCCCTTTTAGTCTCTGGTGTATCACATAGAACATCTTGTTTTTTTAAATATTTGAGACGTGAACTCTGACGATTATATTCAAATGACACAAATAAGTTCGCTCATCATTTTCACTTGAGACATGGCCAAGTTAAATGTGTTGACCTTTCCCCACCATCTGTGAATGGTTTTACACAGCACCCAGAGACATAAAGAAACTCTAGGTTACTAGGTTTTTATAGTAATATCATTAAACAGATACAGTTGTGTGAAAAAGTGTTTGCCCCCTTCCTGATTTCTTATTTTTTTGCATGTTTGTCACACTTAAATGTTTCAGATCATCAAACAAATTTAAATTTTAGACGAAGATAACACAAGTAAACACAAAATGCAGTTTTTAAATGAAGGTTTTTATTATTAAGGGGAGAAAAAAAATCCAAACCTACATGGCCCTGTGTGAAAAAGTGATTCCCCCCCCCCCCTGTTAAAACATAAATTAACTGTGGTTTATCACATTTTTGGAAAACTGAGTTTAATTTCTCTAGCCACACCCAGGCCTGATTACTGCCACACCTGTTCTCAATCAAGAAATCACTTAAATAGGACCTGCCTGACAAAGTGAGGTAGACCAAAAGATCCTCAAAAGCTAGACGACATGCTGCGATCCAAAGAAATTCAGGAACAAATGAGAAACAAAGTAATTGAGATCTATCAGTCTGGAAAAGGTTACAAAGCCATTTCTAAAGCTTTGGGACTCCAGCGAACCACAGTGAGAGCCATTATCCACAAATGGCGAAAACATGGAACAGTGGTGAACCTTCCCAGGAGTGGCCGGCCGACCAAAATTACCCCAAGAGCGCAGCGACGACTCATCCAAGAGGTCACAAAAGACCCCAGAACAACATCCAAAGAACTGCAGGCCTCACTTGGCTCAATTAAGGTCAGTGTTCATGACTCCACCATAAGAAAGAGACTGGGCAAAAATGGCCTGCATGGCAGAGTTCCAAGACAAAAACCACTGCTGAGCAAAAAGAACATAAAGGCTCGTCTCAGTTTTGCCAGAAAACATCTTGATGATCCCCAAGACTTTTGGGAAAATACTCTGTGGACTGACGAGACAAAAGTTGAACTTTTTGGAAGGTGTATGTCCCATTACATCTGGCGTAAAAGTAACACGGCATTTCAGAAAAGGAACATCATACCAACAGTAAAATATGGTGGTGGTAGTGTGATGGTCTGTGGCTGTTTTGCTGCTTCAGGACCTGGTAAATGGAACCATGAATTCTGCTGTCTACCAACAAATCCTGAAGGAGAATGTCCGGCCATCTGTTCGTGACCTCAAGCTGAAGCGCACTTGGGTTCTGCAGCAGGACAATGATCCAAAACACACCAGCAAGTCCACCTCTGAATGGCTTAAGAAAAACAAAATGAAGACTTTGGAGTGGCCTAGTCAAAGTCCCGACCTGAATCCGATTGAGATGCTGTGGCATGACCTTAAAAAGGCGGTTCATGCTCGAAAACCCTCCAATGTGGCTGAATTACAACAATTCTGCAAAGGTGAGTGGGCCAAAATTCCTCTACAGCGCTGTAAAAGACTCATTGCCAGTTATCGCAAACGCTTGATTGCAGTTGTTGCTGCTAAGGGTGGCCCAACCAGTTATTAGGTTTAGGGGGCAATCACATTTTTCACACAGGGCCATGTAGGTTTGGATTTTTTTTCCCCCTTAATAATAAAAACCTTCATTTAAAAACTGCATTTTGTGTTTACTTGTGTTATCTTTGTCTAATATTTAAATTTGTTTGATGATCTGAAACATTTAAGTGTGACAAACATGTAAAAAAATAAGAAATCAGGAAGGGGGCAACACTTTTTCACACAACTGTATATACACAACACAGGGCCACTCTTTAGGACAGGGCTACATGATTGTTTAATAACACAGGAACCGCTTTACTTGATATTGTACTTAAGTGGTGCAAATCTAACAAATATGCAGTTATGCACATTGCCAAAAAACAACTTCAGGGGAATATGGGGGTCCCTGCAGTTGCTCACTTTGCCCAGTTGGTTCCAGCATTGAGTACAATTTTAAAGTATTTGTAACTTATTTAGGTATTTCCATTCGTATGCTACTGTATACTTGTACTCTCCTACATTTCAGAGGGAATGTAGTATTTTTTGTAGTACATTTATTGGACAGCTCCAATTAGTTTGAATATTTATATTGAGGGTTCAGATATGAAAAATATGGTGAGCTTACAAATTATGATGCATTTCTTTAATAGCGATGTCCAACACTAATACTAATTCAATACACAATACACTAGAGGCACTTGATATTTTATTAGCCTACATTTTTATGGAGTATTTTTACATTGAGTAATTGCAATTAAGCTCTGGACACTTCTGAATCCATGCATGCCTGGACTCAATATGGTGCTGTGAATGAAATAGTTTTATACTTTTTACTGTTTATGTTCCCAAAGATGTGAACCCGAATTTAAAGGTATAGCTGCTTTCTTTTACCATCTCTGTTTTTTCCCCCCTCAGGGTCAGAATCTTTTTTAACTGTACACTGAAAGGAATATTTCTACAAATTATACCACCCCCAAAACACAATGGGAACCAAAAGGCAAACCTCACATGGTCTGTGAGGTTGACTAAAATATAACAAAGAAAATTATTCAATTATTATTATTTTTTAACCTTAGTACATATACTGTACATGTGTTGTATGCACGCTGCACAGTATTTGAGCTCCTGTAGGTCAAACACCACAATAATCTCCTCCACTTGATGATTATGTTAATGATGATAATGATGATGATGATGAGGATGATGATATACGGAAGTATCAGCTGTTCAGTTGGTGTCTAGCCCATGAGAACAAGCTGGAGAGGCCCATGCTGCTTATTTCATGATTTGTGACACTGACCTCTTTCTCAGCAGCAATCCCAGACAATTTGAAATCATTTCATTTCAATTGTCCTTATAAGAAGTATCAGACCCCCTGAGAGCTTGTGTGTGTGTGCTTTTCCACATTGGCTTTGAGGTCTCGTTAGTTGCCCAAAATGGCCACTTGGGGGAGCTACGAACCAATATGTCTCCTCAACCCTCTCTGCAGAATCCTTCCTCATTTGCCGTCAATTTATTTTCATTCAAACAAAGGGTGACCATGTGAAGAACATCACATCAGTTGACAGCCTGTAAATGTGATTTAAACATTTAAGCACCATTTACTCAGATTAAGTTTCAATTGAAGAACAAATGCTATTAGGTGGAAATCTAACAGTATGTGGTAAATGATGGAGGTTAAACTATTCATTTTTCTTGTTTGAATCCTATTGCTCATTTTTAAACAAAGGCACCCTGTTACTTTGGTTTTACAGTATTCTAACTTAATACCTTTAACTTATGCAAATGTGCTTTTGTTAATAAGTAACTAAACACCTTCATACCCTGCTAATGTGCGCCTTATGCACTGTACCTATATAATGTTTTGTGCTGATAGACTCTAGATAAACACAAACTGTGGATTCATTACAATTCAACTCCTGTCCGCAAACACACACACACACACACACACACACACATACACGCACACAAAATGAGCATCGGTTCCTTCCCTAATCTTGTATTAATGGACCCAATCACAGACTCTATGAATAATCAATGGCCAGTGGTCTGCAACCACAGTGCTGAGACCTTGAGTGAAACTGAATTTTCCTAATAAGACACACACACACACACACACACACACACACACACACACACACACACCTTGAGGCCCTAATAAGCACTAATGCACTGTGGGTTGAGAATACGTCACATGGTTTGTTTGCTGCAGAATGTGAAAGATAAACATGCTGTGTATGCGTGTGAGTGTGTGTGTGTGTGTGTGTGTGTGTGTGTGTGTGTGTGTGTGTGTACGTATGTACTGTATAAGTGTGTGTGTGTATATGGAGAAGAAGAGTGTGAAAGCAGGGACCTGTCTGTCCTTGCCCACTCTCTCCTGCCTTTTTGCTCGCTGTTTTCCATAGATGACTTTGTGAGGAAACAACCGCTTTGGCTAATAGCTGCTACATTAGTCTCTTAACCAGCTGGTCATGGCCATTTAGAAATGTTCATTAGGTTGCAGACCAGAGTGGATAGGTGCGATAGTTCACTCCCCACTGTTGACTGTAGAGAGACAGAAAAAGAGAGAGAGACAGACAGACAGGCAGGCAGACAGACGGAGAGAGGAGCAATTTGCTGGCCAACATGACGACCAAGTGTTAAAAGCCGCAGATGCAATTATCATCATTGCCCTGAATAAGAACCTTGTGCATAATGATCTCATTAAGGTCTATGAGTGTTATTTTAGGGCCCTGAAAAGGTTGGATAAGCAGGACTTGATATTATGGGTTATTAATGCTGCAACATCTGGTGCCATTCTGGCAATAGTCTGACTGTAGTCTGAATGGGCTGGGAAATTTAGTACGACCACATAGGGTAATACTTTTTCTTATAGAACTTTATGGATGGAGATGCTGTATGATATATACATATGTATATATATATATGTATAGATATGTGGTGATGTATAGCTTGCCATATACAGTATATGGCGTGTGTGTATGTATGTGAATTTGTTTGCGCTGTTGACCAGTCAGAGCACATTACACACCGCGGAGGGAAACGGCGCTCTGTCGCCGGAAAAGCGATTGATTCTCCATTTCCATATTAATGAGCAGATTTGTTAAGAGCCTGCAGGAGAGGGAGAAAATAACAGGGTCTTCATAGGGCATGACATTTATAAATAAAGCTGATGCAGAGAAAAATGGAAATTAAACCTTTTAGTTTAATAAATTTGAGGCGTCCGCAGCAAAGCAAGCGATTTGC